AGTGTAATCAACGTTTATTAGTGAACACCTTTATGTCCTAGGTCCACCTGTTAGCACTTTACTGACACTTGCTTCAGCCTGCCTCTCTCTCTCTCCTACACGCACACACCCCTGCGTTCATGTATTTACTCAACTAGCTAGTGAACTTTTGAGAGTAAGATGCTGGACACAATGATACTGTATCTCTCAGAACAGGGCCATTGTCTATGTAACCAAACACAATTATAGCTCCCAAGAAATTTATAATTTTATTTAGCAGGACACAATCCACATTTAGATCTTCTCAGTTGCCCCCACCGTGCCCTCTTCTGTCATTTTACCCCTTCGTCCAGAATCCGCTTCAGGATCCTGCGCGGCATTTGGATGTCGTGGGCCCTCTTTAATTCAGAACATTCCGCGAGTCTTTTTGGTCACTCAGGACACTGAGAGTTTTGAGGGCTCCAGGCCAGTGGTCTTGGAGAGGTTTCCTCTACCTGGATTTATCCGATTATTATTACTTTTTGTTTGTTTTAATGTTTATTTTTGAGAAAGAGAGAGAGAAAGAGAGACAGACCAAGGGTCAGCGGGGGAGGGGCAGAGAGAGAGAGAGCACAGGAGGGGAGGGGCAGAGAGAGAGGGAGACACAGTATCCGAAGCAGGCTCCAGGCTCCGAGCTGTCAGCACGGAGCCCCATGCGGGGCTTGAACTCACGGACCGCGAGATCATGACCTGAGCCGAAGTCGGACGCTCAACAGACGGATCCCCCAGGTGCCCCTCTCTGATTATTCCTTATGATTGGACGCACATTTTTATGAGTTGGAGGCTCATTGTTTTCATTCCTGACACCCCTTTCCCAAGCTGATGTACCCCCAGAGGCCAGAACTGTGGTTTCTGACAAAGCTTTCAGCTCTTCCTTTCCTGTCTGTTTAGATTCCAACATCCCAATTTCCACATCATGCTCAAAACAACCAATAGGAAAGCACCAAGACATGCAAATTTCCCCGGCCTTAAACTGGCACATCTTCCATGTGGAGAAATTCAATTTTTTCCTTTCCTTTCTTTTTTTTCTTTTCTTCCCTTCTTTCTTTCTTCTCTTGTTTTCTTCTCTTTTCTTTTTTCTTTTCTTGTTTTTTCTTCTTTTCCTTTTCTTTTTTCTTTTCGTTTCTTTTCTCTCTTTTCTTTCCTTTTTTATTTTCTTTTCTCTCCTTTTCTTTTCTTTTACTTTTTTTTTTTTTTTCTAAGTAGGCTTCACGCCCAGCACAGAGCCCAACATGGGGCTTGAACTCAGAACCATGAAATCAAGACCTGAGCTGAGATCAAGATTAGGCCATTGAACCAACTGAGCCACCTGGTAGCCCTTGTAGCCCCAGGAAACTTAGTTTTCTGCTGCCATGTAATTACTGTGGTTTTCTTTAGCAGCAAACACAGGCCAGGGAAAGACCTGGGAGATATGGGGAGCAGACCCAGGCAGTGGCCAAAATGTTGGTTGGAGGAGACCTGCTAGGATCGGAGAAGGGCCACAGAGGTGAGAGACCGCTGGCCCGTAGCGGTTCATGCTTGACCCACATCTGGTGAGATGCAGGGTGGAGTCTTGAGTTGGGGTTGTCCCATGTGCAGTTGAGGGGAGATCTTGGGAGCTTCTAACTCATCTCAGGGCTAAATGAATCTGCAGATGGGCAGGGATGGGAGGGGATACAAAGATAGAAGCCTCCTCCCAATTCTTGGACCCCATGGCTCCTGTTGCCACAGTCATTAGTAGGACTGGGGAGCCTGTTGGACAAGATTCCTGCTGTCCCCGTGGAAAGGGCTCCCCGGGGAGGGCGGGGTTGGGGAAAGGCCCAGTGAAGACACTGCCCAGGCATGACACCCAATGAAACTCTCAAACTGGGCAAAAGATGGGTTTCCTTTGGGAAGAGGCCCACTTTGCTTTCTTTCTAGTTTGTTGGTGATGCGTCCACTTGGATGCCCTCTCTTCCTGGAGCTGGCTTCAGGGAAGGTGGGAAACACACAGACTCTAAAGCCTAATCACCTGGGTGCGAGTCTCAGGGGCACTCCTTCCTGTGTGACCTCGGGCAACTCACCTGTCTTGCTAGAGTTTCCTCATCTGCAGAATGGGAGTGTAATACTATGAACCTCGGAGGCCTGTTATGAAGCTTCTATGAGGTCATATTTGTAAAGCTCTGGTGACAGTGCCTGGCACTTATTAAGTACCAGATCGGTGAAGATTAAATTAGTAAAAGAGAGAGAGAATCCCCAGCAGGCTCTGCACTGACAGTGCAGAATCTGATTCGGTGCTCGAACTCCTAAACCGGGAGATCAAGACCTACCTCTCAAGAGACAGAGTCAGACGCTCAACTGACTGAGCCACCCAGCTGCCCCAAAGGTTTTTTCTTTTTCTAATGTTTACCCATTTTTAGAGAGAGACGAGGCAGAGCGTGAGCGGGGGAGGGGCAGAGAGAGAGGGAGACACAGAATCCGAAACAGGCTCCAGGCTCTGAGCTGTCAGCACAGAGCCCGACGCGGGGCTCGAACTCACAGACGGCGAGATCATGACCTGAGCCGAAGTCGGATGCTCAACCGACTGAGCCACCCAGGCGCCCCTGGGATTCTTTTCATTACAACCCAAAGTAGGGGTAGGTTCAGGCGGCTGCATGCCTGGATTTTCCACCCTTCAGACATCCCAGTCTGCTGGAGAAGGTCTTAATTAGGTCTCGTGGCCTTAACTAGAGCCGCAAAGCCCTTGTTTCTTTTTTTAGAGGGTGATCCCACCGAATTAAAATTCAATTAATCCAACTTTAGGGGCAAGAAAAACTATTCACGAAAAATCATTAAACGGCACGTAAAACCCTTTGAGGAGCAGCAAAGACCAGGACAACCTGGCTTTTGTTAAGGTCCTTTGGGACCAAAGAGTTCACTTTTTTAAGGAATTTTAACAAGATAGTGGTCACAGTGGAATTTGTTCATGTCGCTTATTTAAGGTTTTACGAGGCCCTGAAAAGAGCCCCCCTCCCCGGGTCTGCACAACAAGATTTGGTAACAGCAGCACGGTGAGAGGTAAAATCCTGGGGGGTGTTTGAACCCTGGGAGGGGACAAGGGGCCTGGATGCTTCAACAGTGTCACAAAGGGTCAGGGGGGATTCCGTGCCAGGTTAAAGGGGACAGGAGACACAGGGCCCTGGGAAGGCAAAACCAGACATGCCTAGAAAGGACATTATTAGGACAGTCTTCGGATTAGATAACGGCCTTGCATCAATGTGACGTGTCCGGATTTCGGTAAGTGTACTTGGGTTCTGTAAAATAATGTTTGTATTCTTAGGAAATGCACAAGGAACTGATTACAAGTAGAAAGGTATCATATCTCCTTCCAAATGGTTGAGAAAATCAATTAGATACATAAAGTTATATGTGGCGCCTGGGTGGCTCAGTTGGTTAAGCGTCCCACTTGGGCTCAGGTTATGAACCTGTGGTTCATGGGTTCAAGCCCTGTGTCAGGCTCTGTGCTGACAGCTCAGAGCCTGGAGCCTGTTTCAGATTCTGTGTCTCCCTCTCTCTGACCCTCCCCTGTTCATGCTCTGTCTCTCTCAAAAATAAATAAACGTTAAAAAAAGTTTTTTTAAGAAAAAATTTAAAAAACAGATTATGTACTTTTAGAATAGTATCAAAACTTGTGAAGAATTTTGTATTCTTTTTTCTCCATAAATGCTTTATCACAAGTGGTTTTCCATATTTTCACATAGAATTCATTTACATTGCTTTTAGTTGACTACGTACCATTTCTTCTAACTGAGTATCCCATACTTAACAATTTCACCATTGTTGGGGAACATCTATTGGGATTGCTTTTTCTTCTTCTGTTACCAAGTATATTTGCTTTTGCTTACTCTAGATTACTTTAATGGTTTAAAACTGGGCCCCTGGGTGGCTCAGTTGGTTGGGCGTCCAACTTCAGCTCAGGTCATGATCTCACGGTTTGTGGGTTCGAGCCCCGCATCAGGCTGCGTGCTGACGGCTCAGGGCCTGGAGCCTGCTTCTGATTCTGTGTCTCCCTCTTTCTCTGTCCCTCTCATGCTCACCCTCTGTCTCTCTCTGTTTCAAAAATAAAAAAATGTTTTAAAGTTATACTTATATAATTATGTACACACACACACACACACACACACGGCCCTTGAACACCAGGAGTTTGAACTGCACTAGCTCCACTCATGTGCGGATTTTTTTCCATTAATTCAGTACAGTTCTGCACATGTATTTTCTCAGTAACGTTTTCTTTTCGCTAGCTTCCTTTATGGTAAGAATGCAGTTTATAATCCATATAACATACAAAATATGTGTTCATTGACTGTTGATGTTATTGGTAAGGCTTCCGGTCAACAGTAGGCTGTTAGTGGTTACGTTTTGGGGGAGTCAAATATTATCCACGGATTTTCAACGTCACAGGGGTCGGTGCCCCTAACCCAACGGTGTCCAAGTCTAACTGTGTATAATACATCCATTTGTACATGGAATACATATGTATTAATGTATAATCATATTACAGGCATAATAACGGGCACCGGGCGGGTTCAGCTGGTGGAGCACGTGACTTTTGACCTTGGGGCTGTGAGTTCGAGCCCCATGTTGGCACTTGGAGATTCCTTAAAAAAATAATAGGAGGGGTGCTTGGGTGGTTCAGTCAGTTAAATGCCCAACTCTTGATCTTGGCTCGGGTCTGTGCTGACGTCATGGAACCTGCTTGGGATTTTCTCTCTCCGTCTCTCTCTACCCTGCTCCCCATTCTTGTGCTCCCTCTCTCTCTCTCTCTCCTCCCCCCAGCCCCTTCCCCTTGCTTGCACGTGTGCACACATGCTCTCTCTCCCAACATAAAAAAATCAAATGATTTCAAAATACAAAGTAAACAAAAATAAAAACGAGTAAAACTAAATAAGCTTAAGAAGAGACAAACGCTAACAGAAAAGAAAGAGAGAAAGGAGGTGCCGTGGGGGGAAGTGAACAGCATGCTCACGTCTGACGACCACACTTACCGGGTTCCTCCTGCCTGATAAACGCCCTCAGGTGGGTTGCAACAGACCGCTCGAGGGGTTCCCCCTAAGAGGCTCGTAACCAGACGGGGAGACCTAAGGCCCTTGCCTGCGGTCGCCGCAAACCCGGGGCCAGCGTGCGACGAAGAGTCACGGAGGGTCACCGGTGCCCGCGGCGCGCGACTGGCCCCCACCTCCGGGCAGCTGGCGGTCTGGGGACCGGGGACGAGCAGAGCACGGACGGCGGTGCCGCGGGCTGCGGTCTGGTCCGGCAGAACCCGAGTGGCAGCAGCGACGCGGGCGTTCGGGCCCGGGTCTGGGGAGGGAACCCGCCGGAAACGCCCCCCTCCCCGCCCCGCCCCGGCCGGGACCGCGGAAGCAGGTTTCGCAGGCCCAGGAGAAGCCTTCCAGGAGAGCGGGGTGAGCGGCCCGGCCCGGAGGTGGGGCGCGGCCGGCGCACGTCGGGCAAAGGCGGCGGGCTGGGCGGCCGGGGCGCCGCCGAGCGGCTTCGGGG